ATGTCGGTCTTGCTACATACTACCCATCTGCCCACCTGCCTCCCCCGTGCCCTCCGGCCAATGTCACTTGCTGCTGCTGGTCATCCAATGCCTTCCTTCCCTTATGTCTTCGCTCCACACACACACACACAACCCTTTCCTCTTCCCCAGCCCTTTTTCCTCCCTGGGACCATGTACACCCGGCTTAGCAATCTCACAAGTCATTCTCGCCCCTAGTCGAACCTAGTAGGAGTTTCCGTCGAATGTGATGTCCCTGCTCGTCCTTTGGATTGTCGACGAAATGTCGGAGCTAGCCTGGCGTCGTGGTTTGTGTCGTGGCATGTCCACACACACACACACACACACACACACACACACACACACACACACACAACTTATTGGGTAGGCCGGGGTCGCTAAGTCAGCTGGCCCACAAATCTGTTCCCCCACGTTAAAAAAAGAAGAAAAAAAAAAAAAAAAAAAAAGGCAGCGCAGGTGGGTCCCCGACTACCGGGGCAAACCTCCCACGTGACAGAAACGGGGTTGCCCCCCCCCTTCTGGTGCTCTTCGACGGGGGGCGCTCTACGCCATTTAACTAGGGGTAAACCAGGGGTTGGGCAGGGTTAGGACGCCGCTTTAAGGTTAGAGTGGGGACCCCCTGTTCTACCCCCGCCCAGACACTCAAATTCGGATGTGCTGTCTGGCTCGTCCGATCCCTCGGAATACTCGCTCACTCCTCTTCTTCTGACGTGGACTCCGCTTCTTCTTCTTCTTCCATCAACACTATTGGTGCAGATTTGTTGTCTGAGGGCATCTCTCTGTGTCGTCGATAAGTCTCCCAGAAATCCAGATCTTCGAAGTTAACCCCCCCCAAAATCGAGGTAATGCCACTCCGCAGGGTTGTGAGCGTGAGAAAAATTGTCTTCCCCTGTGTACCACATCCACAATATTGTGGGATGGAGTGTCCGCTCCAGAACTTCGGGCGCTGGGGCGAGTGGCTCCTGCGAGATGATGTTGATTGGCACATCGTAGAGGATCTGCGCCAGGAACATGAAAAGATCATTGACGAGCTTAGAGCGGCCGTCGTCCACTACTTCTCTGAATACGATCTCGATGAGCAAGCCTTTTGTTCCCATCTCCCACGCCTGAACGAGGAGGAGAGAAAGCTTGTCGTTGTTGACGAGGTCTCCTTGCGACTCGTCACGCGCCCTATGTACTACGACAGAGGAAACAGCAGCTAATCGCCACAAGATTATCGGTCCAAGGCTGATTATGATATGTCCAATGCAGGGGGAGAGGAGGAATGCGCTGAGGTCAGATCTCTAGCGACAGTGAAGGATCCGCTCCAGACAACGAGAGATGATGAGAAAAGGAGAAGGTGGCGAGACGATTCATTGGTGACGAGAAGGTTGAAAGACACGAAGAATGAAAATCCGTTCCACAGGAGGCTCCGTCGGATCAGTGCGCAATGAGAAAACGTCGACGCACTCCGATCCCACCGGACAATCATATGGTCGGGCTAACCGCTGCCTCCAGTCCGTTACCAGTTCATTTCCCTAGTTGTAGAACGCTTGCACAGCGTCAAAGTGATGCAGTTGTGACACCGTGCACAGATTGCCTGTAAATGAGAAGATCACGGCGACGTCGCTTTCCCTTGGCCAAGAATACCGACGAAGGGCTGAAGCTTCCACCAGCACTGTTGCTTCACCGCCTGTTGCTGAGGCAGATACCCGCATTGCAGCTTACCGAGCCTGAGTGTTGAGGAGCTGTGCAAATTGCAGAAGATCGAGACTGAGCTGAGGATGATGGATCTGTTGAAACTGCAGCGATAGCCGTGGTTGAAGCAATCGAGCGGAAATTGCTTGCTCAAGTGCGAAACTCATGGCAATGGGTGATGAGATAGGGTGTCCAGGGAAGAAGAGGAGGGATCACAGTCGTCTTCACTACCCAACTCAGACGACGAAGAAGAGGGTAGAGGAGACTTAGATGCGGGATGGATAAACAACGAAGGCAGGAGATATGGCAGACAATAGAAGGAGAACTATTGTTCCCGCCAACTTCAAAAGCAATGCGTACAGTATTGACGCCGTTAGGGCCAAGTTCCACTACGCAGAAGCAGCCAGAGTAATTTGGAGCCAGCTTACCATCGCGCGCACACTTGCGGAGTTGGACAAGGTCCCCTAGTTTATAATGAATTCTTGGGCCCGCATTTCCATTCCGAGCCTCATAACTACGGACCTGTCTGCCGTGGGCCAGTTCCGTCATCCTTTGTTGTTTTCGGGCTAGCTTAGGGACCACCTTTTCCATCAGTTCCAAGTACCGTTTGGCCTTGGCTCTCATCGACGCTAGTGTGACTTTGCCCCTTGGTTCCACCTAACCATCTAAACTCTATAAGCAACTTGTCAGAAACTGATCTTAGATTTCTGGCATTATATTATAGTGGACTCCTTCCTGAGCCTTTGAGAACATTTACCTACGGACAAGCTATCGGTACCTTTATTTTATTTTATTTATGGTAAGTCCTAGGTATTCACCACATTGTTGCAGTGCCGTGGTTGCAAACATCTAGCACAGCGGCGCCGAGGCGTCTCGAATAGCGACACATGGAATACTGTTGGTCTGTAATTGGAAGGGGGTTAACCCCATCGATTCACGAGTGGTGGCCCTGTGAATTCCGTCAATCTGATAGACAATTTTGGGCCAAGGACGAGTGTCGTTCCCGGCGAGATTCTGTCCAAGGGCCGTTTTAATCATGTGATTCAAAGGACTGGCGTTTTCGGCCAAGCTTTTGAACTGTGTGCTGCAGACAGATGTCAGAGGCAGCATGGCTTCCACATGCCAGGAACACTGTGGCATTGGGTGTGCAGTCGTATAAGCACTGCACTTTCGGTCCCTCTCTACAGAGCGAACATAATGCGTGTGTTCTGTGTTCGTTAAACAGAGCTCCACAAGAAAAAGGTGACAATGAGAGACTGTTTCATCAGGCTTTCACCGATTCATCAGGTGATCGAACCTCAGCACTCTGCTGAGGATGCAATTCATGACTGATGAAGGATAAGGACTCGCCACTGTCACCAGAGTCACCATCTGGCATCTGGTTAGTGATACCCTTTAGAAAAGTGGTCGACTTCACTCTGTGCCTCTCTACATGTGGTATGCTTGTGCTGCACAATGTTTCAGCAGCTGACTCAGGCACACATCCCTCAACAGGGCATGCCATTTGGCCAACAACCCCAACGCCAATTACTCTGCGCTCCGGTAACAAAGAAAAGAGCCCCTCATATCAATAATATGATCATGTCATATAGGTGCCATATCCAGCTGTCAACGCAGCCTTATTCGCCCATCACATCACTCTACCTCAACTGACAGCAACAATCCATCAGAGCTTCCATTGTTTGCTTCACTTTACCAACTCATTTCTGAGGAATAAGGTCAAACGACTCCAGAAACTGTGATAGTCAAGACATTTACTCACACTAGGCCCTTGTAATCGCAGAATCACAAAATCAGCTGATTTTGTGATTCTGTRATTACAAGGGCGTAGTGTGGTGACGCCCTTGTAATCACAGAATCACAAAATCAGCTGATTTTGTGATTCTGCGATTACAAGGGCCTAGTGTGAGTCAACTCTAACCACCACTCTTTGACATGTCCAGCAGGTCCAGACCCGCCGTCTTTCCTTTTCTCTTGATATCTCCGCTCGTCTCCTTTCTTCATTTTCCCCTCCTTTCCCACCTACTCCAGTCTTCTCCAGTCTTCTCCACTCCCATCTACCCCTATTCACGTTCTTTGCCTTGTTATCCTTTACTCAATACCCATGATAGCTGCCAAATGCTGAAGGCCAGCATCAGCATCTGCATCAGCATCAGCATTAGCGTCACCGTCATCCACCGTCATCCCATCACTACACTGCACCTTGCTTTGCTTTTTTGTTTTCCTTTTTTTTTTACCATTTCTCGATTTATGTGTGTCATCCTTGCGCAGGGGCCATGCTAATCCTCTCTGTATCGTTCCAATTTTAACAGATGTCCCGAAGGACAGCACCTTGCTTTGCTTAATTTCTCTCAGACATCCTCTTTTTCCAATCTGACTCTACCTAAGAAGTCGATATACACCTCAGGGAAGAAATGTGGGCCCTACTGTTGAGCATGACAGAAACTGAGATTCGGTGCAGATGGAGTGAGGTTACATCAACAACGAAAGTCAGACCAGAAAGGCTAGCCACCAAGAGACATTCTTTTATGAGAGACTGTTTCCTACAGGGAAAGATCGCAACAGTGGCAGATAATAGATTGATCTGGAAAAAATGGCACAGTGAAACTCCAGAAAGGACGACGACCCAATGATGGGCAAACTGAGACCATAGTCTCAACAATACAAACAACTCTCCTCTTTTCTTGTTGCACACGAACTATATGACAGAATCAAAATGGATTCTGAGAGGAAAAGCGGTAGGGCAAGCTCACAGTCAATCCTCCTACATAGGAGCAATCAATGCTGGTCAGGGTTCCTTCGGCCAGACGGAAGGAAGCGTGAGAGTATTCACCATGTATTCCAATTCTCGAATTGCCGGTGGACAGGAACCGGACTGATGCTCTGCAGAATGGATATGGAGCCAGGACCACAAGTAAAAAAAAAAAAGAAGTCGATATACAAATGAGCTGTTCAGAGCAGAACAGAAAGATAGCAGATGCACAGGAATCAGGGGTGAGGGGTGGTGCATCCTTCCTGGAGACCGGAAGCAATCAATGCCACTATCTCAGAGTGCCTTGGCCATAATGAAGGGAAGCATAGAGCAGCCATAATCATCTGAGGGACGCTGGACCGGTTTCCAGCTTTAGCAATTAAAAAAGAACTTGTTTGTGTTAAAAAACAAGAAGCAAAAAAAGTCGGCAAATGGTGTTTTATAAATTTATATGGACCATATGTCACCAAAATTGGAAAAAAACAGCATGAAGAAAGTTCAACAGCATTTGACAGATGCATCAAACCACATCCAACGGCTGTTAAAGCACACATACAAAGAGACCCATGAAGCACACATGCACCCCATTTTCTGTGAATGGCACGGTGCCTGCTGCCAGGAGCAAGGGCATACTCGCACTGGGGAGTTTTCTGGTGGTATCGGACTGTAATAACGGCCACATTCGCCCAAAAAGGTCCTTAGTACGTATGCCTTAAAGTGGTTGTGTAACAGTGGGCAACAGATTAAAAAAATTGGAGTGCCACGTCTGTTGCGAACCATAGCAGATCTCAGTAACTCAGTCCTAAAAAAACAAATACCAGAGCTCAGCACCTCAGTTATGGTAAATGTACCTGGCCAACTGCCTGTCCACAATCATCCATCCTCTGGTCAAAAAGAATCCTACAGAACACACATGCTTGGACTCAGTGAAGCACTCCAACTTGAAAAAAAACACTAGTCGAAAGAAGGCTCCAACTTGGTAAGAAAAACTAACAGAACCAAAGAGGGAGAAGGCGAAAGCTTGCACGGCTGCGGGGAAGGCTAAGAACTGCGTAGAGTTAGGAAGTACATTTGCTACGGCACTCACGAATCCAGCCCTCCTGCCACAGGGTCAAAACTGTCGTCTTGCGACATGCACGCCTGGGCATCCGTACATGCACCGATGCAGCCTGTGTTATCGTGCCCTGTAGGGTCCTCTTGCAGACAAACAGCTGAAGATAGACAAGGACAAAGAATCCAGACAAAGAATATCTACAAGCAAGTCTTCTGTTGAACATGCTCGGTGCTCTCTCAAAGACTTGAAAGGGATACCTATGGGAGGGTCGCAGCTGGTCAGTCGAGTCCGTTGCTTTCCTGATGGCGCTGGTGCTTCTAGCGCCCGTGCTTCTGTAGGTGATCAAGCAGCGAAGGAAGACGAACAAGAGGAGTGAAGGGTCTCTGTTGAATACACAAGAACAACTGCACCTAACCAAACTGAATATGTACTACTACCTGAAGTAACATCCATTCGACCCGGTCGGCCTCCAGCTCTAGCTTTTCATCCTGATGAGGTTTCCGTGCCTCCCGTGATCCATTTTCTAGTACATCTTCCGCTCTGACACGGCCTACAGTGTATTATGATGCACACCGGCGGCACCGCCATAACCTCTTCTTGCCCATATTTTTCCCTGATTATGTCTCCTCCCCCTTGCCCACTTCCAATCGCCCCCATCCTCATCCCTGGCATTACCCCTCAGACCAAACGCTTCCTCCCACAATACGATCTTACCCTTCACCCTGTGTGTTTCATGTCACGCTCCATTCCCACTGACATCAGCTCCCCCCAGGGAACCCAAAAAAAGTTCCAAAAACAAAGCAAAAAAAGAAGACAAGGAAAAAGAGAATGCCACGACCTTATGGTCCTGCATGCCTCCTTCCATTCTGCAAAGTGTCAATCTGGTTCGCCAGACATCAGCCAACCCAAATCCAGTGGTTTCATTGTTCCATCCTTACTCTCCTCCAGTGTGCCTGCTACACCAATGTAGCACCAAGAACCATGCCCCAGTACCACCAAGTACCATGTCCCAATACCACCAAGCACCATGTCCCAGTACCACCAAGTACCACATCCCAGTACTCAAGTACCATGTCCCAGTAACACCGAGTACCAAGTCCCTTCCATGCTGAGAAACCATCCATCATCATCTTTCTCTCCAAAGCATCGACACTTTGTGTACTCTCCCATATGCTCACGTCTACCTGTTCATGAAACTCTACTTAGCCTTCACCTCCGCTTGTTTCACAATCTGTATTCTTTTGCAGCTTGTTGGTAGTCTTATACACATCTTTCTTACAAAAAGAAAAGAAAAGAAAAGAAAAGAAAAGAAAAGAAAAGAAAAAACAAAGAAATTGAGTGAATCAGTTTACAGTTTTGCCCCTTCTTCTGCAGACCTTATCATGATCGCCCATGCTCTACAAGCAGCGAGGATTCAGAACTACCTGTTGCGCATACTTCGTTTTTTTTTTTGTTTTTTTTTTTTGGACCATTTCTCGATTTATGTGTGTCATCCTTGCGCAGGGGCCATGCTAATCTTCTCTGTATCGTTCCAATTTTAACAGATGTCCCGAAGGACGGCATACTTCGTTTTTTTTCCGCAATCTCATTTAATTCCTGCTGTGCCCCATCGATTGAACTTTTGAACTTATAAGCAACGTATGTGTGCTCTTCTTGATGTACATATATGGATAATATGATACAGCTTTTCCATCTCTTTTTCGGCATTTTTTTTTTATCTCAGTTCAACCCGACATTGTCACCATTGCTAACTGTCCCATAACTTCCTCTGTGACTGCCTCTTGACTCTTTCACACATCCTGTGTTCTTTGCAATTTGCCAATTTCCCATTTCCTTCTTCCTCTTCCCTTTCCGTACACAGCCTTCAACAATCATATCAATGCTCGTAAATCCTTACCTTCCTTAAACCGCAGCTATCTTTCTTGAACACCCCGGCTACGAGGAGACCCACCCTTTTTCAGTTGCACTGTTGGACTGATGATCCGATGCCCATAATTTGTTTTCTTTCCTCTTTGTCTGCAGCCGCTGGCCTGATTTTTCGGGAGATCGTGGTGTGTTTGTCATCTCCCTTTTCATCCGCATTTTCGCACCACCTACCATGTCCCAAGTACCATGTCTCACCAGCACAGACGGATCGCATTTCCCGCATCAAGGTCGCGTTATCTCCTGGCAATGCAGGACGGCATGCCTTTCACATATGTCACACTGACTTGGAAATGCTAAATAGCGAATAGTGAAAACCTCTTTCTCACATTTCCAGAACATACAACCCTTGAAAAAGGCAGCATGCACAAGCACATTCCCATCATAGGGGGCTTTGTGCGGGCGACACAAAACTTGTCAGTGCCGTCGAGGGAAACTTGTTTCTTACAAGAATGGCGACGGGAAATATTTCAACACAGCTGAGGGAATTGCAACTCTTCCTTGAAGGGAGCATGCCAGGAGTAACTAGCTTAACGAAGGACGTTGCTTCTGCCGTGTTGCTACTGAGGTCCACATCTTGACTACCACCTTCCCTCGAACAAAACGCACATGCGTTGTATTCGAGTTTTTTAAATTTCCGAAATTCGAATACAACACACGCGTGTTGTATTTTAAAATCAGGGCTGTTCGAATAGAACGCATATTCATTGTATTCGAATGGAAAGCAGCCTATCCGTTTGTACGAGTTGTGTTCAGGGGAAGACGGTACCATGCCAGCAGTAACTTAACAAAGGAAGTTGGTTCTGCCGTGTTACTACTGAGGCCGGCACCTTGACCTCATATTCACCTCAGCTGATACATTGTCATCAACCTGGCAGCTGTCTCGTTTCCTCTTCCCCTCGCAACGAGCTTGTAAGGCTGCACTGGCAGGATTACACCGAGAAAGCTTTGCCGGTTTGTTGCCTGTCTGTGGTTCGTCCATGGGTTGCAGTTGCTCATTCACCATTCCTGGTATAGAGGCAGGGTCTGCCTTTTGCCCGTCCTCCTCCTCTTCCTCCTGTTGCTTCTGCTGCTGCTGCTTCTTCTTCTTGTTCTTCTTCTTCTTCTTTTTCATCTTCCCAGGAGCGTCTTCTCTAGCGATTTCCGCAAGCTGCTCGTGTTTCTCCCTGGAGCTCAGCAACTCTCTCCGCAGCTTCTTGTTCTCCTTCTGAAGCTCTTGGATTCGTTCTTCCTTCATTGTAAGCTCGCATACTGCATCCTGTAGTTTCTTAGCCATGAGTTGCTTTTCATAAACCGCCTCGTCTGCTCGTTTGCTTTCGATGATTACAGCCTTCTCCCTCTGAGTAACTCTCTCCATGAGCAACGTCCTCTCTTCGATCCACTTCTGCTTTCTCAATTTAAGCCTTTTATTCTTGGTCTCTAAGGTCGTCTTTTCAGAACGTAAGGTTGACAGTTGAAGATCCAATCGCTCCTTCTCTATCTCTGCCTCTTTGCATTTTATCTCCAGATGCTGGTTCTCCTTCTCCAACCTCCGTTTTCGCTTTTTCAGTCTCACCACATTCTTCTCCAGTGACGAAGCCTTCCCTGCTTCCGAAGCTTTCTCCATCTCCAACCTTGTTATGGTTCTCCGCAAGTCCTCTTCCAGAGACTTTTGATCTTCCACAGCACTGTCGAGCAGGTTCCGTAGTTGTAAGGTTGCTCTCCTTTCCTCTTCAAGCTCACGTTCCATCTTTCTGCGATTCACCTCTTCAAGCTGCAGCTTCGAAGTTTGCCCCTCTATTGTGGCTTTCAAATCCTGCCAGAAGTAAACGCCGTTTTCGTTGGCAATTGCGGTGCGGATTTCATCAAAAATTTTAAAAACAAATGATATGAGACCATAGTGCAAACATCAAAAAAGGAAACAGGCCAAAAAAAACGAAAAAAAACAACAAAAAAACACTGAAACCCTAACACAAAGACACTGTCCGAGTCAAAATGAAGCGTCCAATGAATTCAACAAAATCCCAACTTTTTCTTCATTGATGCAAACACGTCAAAACTGCACACATCCCATACCCTAAAGCACATATATATCACACAAAAAGAAAAACAAGAAAAAAAGCAAAAAATCAGCACAACATGACAGTTTCAGTGCAATTCGGTGCAAAATTCGTCGAAAATAACACCCCTGGTTAACCACGTGTGGGGAGCGACTCTTATTATGTTAGCGTAATCCTCCAACTTCAACACCTCCCCCCACTTGCAAACATTACTACCCATACAGCAATAATATCATATTCACCTCATCTACCCACGGATAGCCATGAACATAGGGCAACGGTGGCATCTTACCAGCCACAGGATGACTGGTTGTGTTTGCACACGAAGGCAAAGGTTCGGACTGCCTGGGAGTGTGCAGTGGACAACAGGGAAATGCATGGAAATGAGCAATGTGAATGACAATAAACCAGATTGCAGCACTCCATAGAAATCCAGATAACTTTGAGCCCGAACTGAAATGTTACATGCTGCACCTGCACACGGGCCCCATTTCAGGGGCCCGACGGTTGCTAAGGGGCCCCCAGGCCACACGCCCTTTTGACGCGCACCCTGGAGGCCCACGGCGGCCCCTAGGGGCAGGATTTGATTTACGGCATTCAGTTATTTATTTATTTGTTTGCTGTCTTATTTTTGTTTGTTCAGGCATCATTTCGGACTTGCAGTCTCCAAGGCTGCGCCTTGGGATGGGTACACCAGGAGGCAGGGCCCTTTGAGGCCAGGTTCGTGCTCGTCCAGTTACGGACGTCCCTGCTGCATCAGCAGGCAGGGTCTGGGCGTCCGGTTGGGACCCAGACCCAGTAGGCCACGTTTTTGGCCTAGGACCAGAGGCACACGGAGGCAGACCGACGAGGCCCAGCACTACTTATAGCTGGGCCCGGCCAGGACAGACGGGAGAGTTGGAGTAGCCCACTTCTTTGAGCGACATGCTGCTGAACCAGCACTACAGCGCTACCGCGCTATGCTGGGGTAGAGGTAGAGGTGTAGGCAGGAAGAGGGATGGAGGCCATACCTGCGTCGGCGGTACTTACCTGGGCGTCATAGCCGTGCTCCACGCCGGCGACCTGCACAGGACCACGACGGCGGTTAGTACATGGCGGCAGTTACCTGCAGGTGAGACAGCAAGGAGGACGACACTTTCTTCTTCTTCGTCTCGCCCTCCATCTCTTCTCCCTCCTTTCTCCTCCTCCTCCTCCTCCTTCTTCTTCTTCTTCTTCTTCTTCTTCTTCTTCTTCTTCTTTCAGAGAGAGAGAGAGAGAGAGAGAGGTTACAGGCAGAGGTTACATCGGGCATTGGCCCAGGATCTGATTCGACATTTTGTGGCAGACATTGATTGGACATTCGGCAGGGAGGCTATTTCTGGACTTCGCTATCGCGATCTTGGTCTTCTTCCTCACCTCCATCTTCATCCTGCCTCTCCCCCATCTCTCATCCGTGGTATCTTACCCATGTGTGTGTACGAGGAGGGACCTTTCTTCCATGTATGTGGTCCCTCCTTTTACTCTCACATGTGTGATGTATGATGGGAGGTCGTGTCAGTATCTGATCGGTCAGGTCATATCTTTGAGTCTTCCGTTGCGCTACTTTGTGCTATTTTCTAGAGGTACATTGCTGGTTGATGCTTTGCTAACACTGCATTGTCCATACGAGTCCTTTTCATCACTTTGCGGATCCTTGGCTCCATATACATTGCTCGACTGAGCATGTATCAGTTGGTATCGGAGCTGCGTGCAATAACCCATGCCATATGCCTCGTGGAAATCTGAGGGCCGACCTGGCTGCCCTCAGCCAGGCCAAAAACGAGGTAAGGGACCCCACACAGGGATTCAGGGCCTGGGCGTGCTACAGTTGACTTTTGTCAACTGTCGCGAACCCAACAGTCAAATTCCAAAGGTACCCAGTCCAGGCCACGGGTCAAGCACACACACTTGTTTGTATGCAGGTACCCAGACAGCATCAAGTCCAAGGGGGAACTCTGCAACTGTACAATCTAGGCCTTCGGCTGTGACTCAATCTGGACGACTGAGGGGTGGAGACTCGAGGCCAGAGAGCCTCGCCAAACACTACTTAAAGTCTCGCCTCGAGGTGGTCAGCATTCAGTCTTGCTATGCTGGTTCAACGCTGGCTTTACTTTGACTCGACACTGGCATTATGCTAGTACGACGCTGGCTAGACGCTGGCTGTGCATCAGAGCTGCGGACGACACGAGGGAGAGGCGACGCTGGCAATGTACGTCAGGCATGCTGACATGGCGCTGCCTCTGGTATCTGTGGCGCTGCCTGTGGTCTACGTGGTATGCTGATGTGGCGCTGCCTCTGGTTTATGTGGCGCTGCCTATGGTCTACGTGGCATGCTGACGTTGCGATGCCTCTGGTTTAGGTGGCGCAGCCTATGGTCTCCGTGGCATGCTAACGTGGCGCTGCCTCTGGTATATGTGGCGCTGTTATTGGTCTTCATTCATGATGTGGCATATGCCACCTGTCTTGGTTGCTGACGTGGCATTGTCCACGCTGTCTACATGAGGTGACTGGTTGCGAAGAAGAGGAAGATCAGGACTGTGGAGGGATCGTGACTACGTACCTGATTGTCTTCATATCGACATTGCTCCAGAGCTGATGAGGAACTAATTAGATGTGCCCTGTGGCACCTTGAGGTTACTTCAGATACTCGTTCAGACTGTTGATTATTGAAGTGGTGCTGGAGGAGGGAGCCCGAAGCAGGAGTGGGCATTGAATTTTCCTCTCCTTTGTCTAATCTCCCTCCTCTCTTCTTCGTCTGTGTATGTTATCTCGTCTCATTCTGTCTAGACACGGTCTTGATTATTGGTACTCATCAGCTGTTGACATTTATCTGGACTTGCATTGTTGATAACCGTTCTCACGATCTGGGTTCATTGCAATTTGGTATCAGAGCATCTCTTCATCGCGATCTGCTGTCTGCTGTCAGGTGCTGACGTGGCACCCAGGTAAGTGGGAGTTGCCGCAAGTCCAATATGAAACGCGTTTATTAACGCGCGCGGTCATACTGCAAGTCTAGACATGGTAGTTGCGAGTAACCGTCCCTTGAAGATGATGACAAGGCTATGATGAAGCCTGAAGAGCTGCATTGGCAACAGGCTGACATGGCATTGGTACCGCTGATGTGGCATATTGTTTCTTGGCAGGATATGGTCTGACGTGGCATGTATCTGTGCCGTGATTACCTGCTGATTGGGCATTGATGTGGCATGCCAGTGTATGCGTGTGACAAGCACACATTGCTGACGTGGCATCCCCTTGTATACCTCCGGGTTCTTGATGTGCTGACGTGGCAGACTCCAATGAGCTGCTGTGTTGGCATGCCAGGGGTGACACGTGGCATGTGTTGGGTGAGTTGTCGAGTGTGCTGGTAGCTGGAGGCAGTACAGCTATGGACAGAGGAGGCTGACATTTGTTTGTGATTGTTGTGTTGGTTTCCTACTTATCTGTTGGCTGTTCTGTGGTGTCCTTGCATACTCACCTGTGTGCTGATGTCTTGATCACACTGGCCGTGGCTGCGGTACCTGCACATATACGGTAGAATGTCATCACACTTAGATTAGGAAAATCAGACAGCAAAATAGTATTAGAAAACTGATAATATCTGTTTCTTTGTATTTGCCTTCAACAATTCTTGCTGTAAGTGTAGCATGCGCCGTGGAATTTATTTTTGTCTTTTAATTTTATTTATTGTGCGGCATTTGCATGCTTGGCAGAATGAACTCTCTTTGGAAGTGTTTGCATGCCTCTATCTTGACTCGGTTCATACCGCTCTTCTTCTTTTCCATCCCTCTCACAGTCTTTGCCGATGAAGAGGGAGTGGAACTGAAAACCCGGGGTCAGATTGATGGAAGGCGACAGACTCTGTTGGGTCTCCTCCGCCAGCTGCTCGGTGAAATACATGGTGCCGGTCCGGAGGCTGAACAGCATGTTCACGGACAGGTCAATCTGTGTAATGCAGAGGGAGACCTGCAGGACGCTGAAACTGCTGTTCAGATGATGGAGACAGGCAAGAGGGTAGAAAACCTCATAAGACAAGGACGAATGGTCCTTGATCGGTACGTCATCGAGAGCCTTGAAAAATTAGACCAGGCGGGAAGAACAGGGAAGAAAGAAGAAATGGTTGAAAGAAGAGAACCACAATTGTCTCTGGATGTGATGGAGGAAAATATCAGACAATTAGAGAACACATTGAAAGAGGAGAGAAGAAAAGTTGAAGAATACAGGAGACTGAAAGAACAGCAAGAGGAAGAGGAAAGAGTGATGGACATGTTGAGGGAAAAATTCCATTACGAAGAAGCAGGAAGCGAGGTTGCATCTATTCTCCAGTCTATCATGGTCTACCTCGTGCATCTTGAAAAGAAGATTGACCACAACACCATCGCGATTGAGTCCATGACAAGAATGATGAAAGGGAAAGATAAGGTGGTGAATGAGGAGGTGACCAAGGGGGGAGAAGATAAGAAAGAACCCCGAGAAAAATTAATGAAGGATGCAATGAAACGGGTCACGCCCAAGAAAGCCGAAGGTTCTAAGAAAGAATCTGAGAAGCCGGAAGAGAAGAAAGAAGAACCCACCGGATTGAAAGAAGAACCGGCAAAAGAAGCGTAAAACCCCAAGAAGAAAGAAAAGGTGAAAATGAAGTTGCCTTCCACCTACAGCAACAAGAAAGATGAAAACTTGTTGTCGTGGATTGCCGAGATCTAGACTTATTGTAGTACCGCACCCGTGGAACCCGAGA